GCTGAAGCAGTGGATAAGATTTATTATCTCACACTTTAACTTTCTGATTTCATTCAGATATAAAATCAATCATGGTTAGATTTTAAAGCTGAAAGTATCATGCTACTGGGTCTGGAACCCAGCGTGCTGTGTTTTTGATTAGTTTGATTAGTTATACAATTACATAATTTCCCTAGGGATTAATAAAGTATGCTGATTCTGATTAGTTATGTTTTGATTTGTTGGTTTTCATGGTTTTATTCCCATTATTGTTTTCTGCTTATGTTACATTCTTAGTTATAGTCCTTGGGTTTCTGTTACCTTCCCTTCCCCGTGTTCCACCTTTCATGTTTAGTTACTCTTCTCTCTGTGCTCCATGTTCACTTTTCCCTGTCAGCCATGTCTCCTTATCTGTCTGTAAGTCTCCGTGCCTTATTTGTATTTCCTGTTTTACTTTGGCGGTCTTATGTCCTGCGTTCAGTGTTTTCAGTCTCGCTTCCTCCCCGTCTTGTTATGTCAGATTAGTCCACCTGTGTTTCCCTCCTGTTTCCCATTCCCCCGCTACCCCCTGTTATATTTAAACCCTGTGTTGTTGTTGTTTTTTATTGCAGTTGTTGTATCATTACCCTATGTGCTCCCTGTACATTCATTGGTTTCTTGTGATTCATTAATTTGGATCCTTCATTCTGCCTGCCACACAGCCACACATGACAGAAAGGTTCTCAGTATGTGCCAGTCAAGTAATTTCAGCCATCCTTTATTATTTTGGAATTCTAAGGTAAAAAGAAGATTTGTCAAAACCGTGTAGTGACATCTCATAACTGAGTAAATATCACAAAAACAGGAATGAATGGTTGTTTGCAAATATGATAACTTAGAAACTGTTGACAGTGAGTATAAAAAGCAAGAGAAATATATAAGTGTTTCCACCTTCAAATTTGAGCATTATAATGTCAGTCACATTATATTCCTAGTTTATTCAGATGAGTCTTCAAAACAACAACTATAACTCATATCATCAGTGTTTCTGGTTCATAATCATTTTTACATGTCTGACATAAAAAATGTTCATATAAAATATATTAGTTAATCATATGGTGGAACAACGTTAGTGCAGTCTGATGTTTGTCAATAAAAATAACATTTATTGAATAATACTTTCTTTAGGTGGTGAATATACACTGTCTTAGTTATCAGTATGTGTAAAAATCCAAAAAAGGAGAAGTAACAGTGAGGAGGTTTTTGTCACAGTATAAATCACTGTGATACGAACTCATCGACAGAGTTGTCATGTGTCTTACAGTAATAGACTGCAGAGTCTCCCTCCTCCACATTTTTGATGATCAAACGATAATCTGTTGTTGACTGATGAGTGGATGTGAATTTTGGAGCAGAGAACCCAGAGCCATAGGTTGGAGAACCCCAGCTATGATGAAACCTCAGCACAAACTGAGGAACTTCTCCTGGAATCTGTTTATACCACCGAGCATTACTGCCAGTAACAGTCCCCAGGTTACAGTCCACGGTGGCTGTCTCTCCTTTCCTCACTGATAGAACAGGAGGTTTCTGTGTGAGCACCGTCACACCACTCACACCTACAAACAACAAGAAGACATGAAGTCAAGAGAAACAAACAAACTAATAAATCTTTCCTGAGGTCCGATTGGACGCATAAGTCCTCTTTACATGTTAATGCAGTGATCAGAGTACAGAGAGTCAGCAGCATGTTGTCGATGTGAGCTGAGAATTGACAATAAAATGTGAAGAAAAATGTGCTGGTTAAGCCATTTAATATAACCAGGAGAAGGAGGAGCTGGGAATCTCTCTCTCTCTCTCTGTGTGTCTCTCTCTGTCTCTCTCTCTCTCTGTCTCTCTCTCTCTCTCTCTCTCTCTCTCTCTCTCTCTCTCTGTCTCTCTCTCTCTCTCTCTCTCTCTCTCTCTCTCTCTCTCTCTCTCTCTCTCTCTCTCTCTCTGTGTCTCTCTCTGTCTCTCTCTCTCTCTCTCTCTCTATCTCTTTCTTTCTGGATTGTTTCCTTTATTAAATTCTATTAAATTATCTATCATTTCTGATTTAACTACATATCTTCTTACCACTGCCACTAGATTGAGCCTTCACATTTATCATTCAATGAAATCAAGTAGAGATTTCAGCTTTTGCT